CATTTATACCATAACAATATCAAACACTATTAATTTACCCTGGAAAAATAAAGAGAAAAATTTTTACATTATCTCACATAAACACAAACGGATCATTTTTTCACATTAGCTGTATGTGTTTCAGCCCTTTTGAATAGATAAAATCATTGTTGCAGTCAAAACCAACATCACATTACGTTTATCCAACTATCAGAAAAATTTAGTTTTAAGAATAGAATTTCTGATGAGGACCTTATAGACCCCATTATTGTTTTTATAAATATTTTTCTGAACTATTTATTTACCAAATTTCATGTAGGTTCATGACTTTGTTGCTTACAGGGTTCCTAATAACATGAATCAGGAAAAAAAAAATACCACAATTTTGGAATTAATCTGACTAGCTATTGCCAGTGTCCCCTAATTATTTGATGATTACAAAAAAATTCTGAACCTTTTTTTTCTACACAAAGAATTTAAGTGATTTACCCTAACCTAAATGAAACTTGTACAATGAAAGAATTGAAAACTTAACAGAATAAAATTCATTTATCAAGAAAAAGAGATAATATTGGACTTTTTAAAAATATTTGGGGGGTCATTTGACATCCCCTGGATATGTCCCTGTGATTGTATATCTTTATTTTAGGATGTAAGTAACTTACAAGAAAATGACAGTTTGAGCTCGTGAGTAAATCTTCTGTTGCAGAAATAACAGTATGCTTTTATACTGAAAAAGATGTTGGATCACAATATTAAATATATAATTATATTCCTTACAATTAAACCAAAAGGGTCTACTGGCAGTTAGTGGAAAAGATGGAACTGTTATTTGGAATTTCAAGGATTCTGATGCAAAAATCAAAACATCAAATATGTATACTCCTGTTTATATCAATGATATAAACTCTGATGGAGTCCCAGACCTGGTCCAGATCCATGGAGGAGACCCTTTGAAGGAGCCAGGTAGGGTCATCAACAGTATAATGTTTGGAAGGTTATCATAACAGGTGCTATAGCCATCTTTAAATTTAAAACAAAATTCTATCAGAACAGTAATGATAAAAAAATATGATTAAATATTTAGATATATATATATATAT